TTTTCAGGTAAATGGTGCAGCAGAGAAACAGACAGAAGGAAAAAGGGAAAAGAGCCCCAGTCAGCTCCTCAGGTATATCTAAACATCCCGTCCAAGCTCCACCCCCAGCAAAAGGCCATAAAAGCCTCAGCCTCCCTTTGTCTAGTCAAGAGAGGGAATTCCTCATCCTTCCTACATTCTTTCCTGTGTCCTCAAAGAAAATAAAGCCCCTTTCCTTTTTCCTTCTGTTTCTCTGCTGCCCCATTTACCTGAAAAACACCTATCATATGGTGCCATGACTTGGACAGATAGGCAGCGTATGAGGCTCCTGGGGGCCAAAATTCCCCCGTCTTGAGCCCCCCTGCCTATCGGCTAAGCTTCTCTCCTTCAGGATCTGCCTCTTGCCATTGCCAGTTTGCATGCAAAACCGATCCACTTCACATCTCACAGGTAGGCTGAGCTCTCTGGCTTCTGGTTCTCTCCTTCAGGGGTTTGCTCTCTTTGCTTTGCCTAAGGTGTATACCCACCCCTAGAGCACTACCCTGCCATCTTCAAATATTCGTGGGGCCCTCCCTGTGTCCAGAAGTCTAACTGTCCCTGGTAACTCCCCCTCAAAGGGGTTCCCCCAGGTCCCTGGTGACGACTAGAGGGACCTAGGTTTGGGGACCTCAATTTTGCTCGTCTTGGCTTTGAGAACTGGTGATGACCGCTCCTGAGGCTTAGAAGTCCACTTAGCCTTAATTCAGTCACTCAGGGGAATTGTTCTCTCTTTGCTTTGCCTCGCTTTGCCTTGGGTGTATACTCTTCACTCCAAACATTCCCCTGCCCTCGGCAATGGGAAATACTCATTCCCAGCCCCCAAAAGACACTCCATTGGGATGCCTGGTCCCTAGTCTTGTCTCCTTCAGCCTCTGGGAGGCCATAAAAACCGAAGTGATTATCTTCTGCTGTCATACAGCTTGGCCACAATATAAAAGCCAGTGGCCTATACAAAAACTTTTGATCCACTAATTTTCCAAAGTTTAAAAAACTTCTGTAACTGCACTGGCAAATGGCAGAAAATCCTCCGTATTCAGGTTTGTTGTTTTTTTTTTTTTTCACTTTGAGGACATGTCCTTCCCTCCTTTCCTCAACAATACAGATGGGCCCAAATGTTCTCAGCTTGCACTGCTCTGCCTCCTCCTTCCTCGAATGCTCCAAAAAGATGCTCCACTGGTCTGTGCTCCCCTCCCTCAAACTCCCAGCTACAATTCATCAGTCCCCTTGACTAAAGTTTCCTGAGCTTCCAGCCTCTCTTTTCCTCCTCCTTTCATATGCTATGGCCTCTCACCCCCATCTCTCTCTCCACAGTTACTTAAACCAAGGACAACTCCCCCACCTAACAATCTCTGTCAGATCAGCGTCCCCGCGCCTGCCACAGCAGCCACCATGCCGCACATGCCCCTCTACAGACTCCTCCAGTGGCCCTCCTCCATACACCTCTGCTGCGGCCCTGCTTCACCTTCTGACCTCTCAACTTTCAGTCAGTCTATGTTCCTCACATTCTTCAGTGCCCCGCTCCCCTTATAACCACAGTCTTTTCCTTCAGGTTTTTCACTTTAACAAGTTTTTTTCCCCAACAGTGTGTGCCCCTCCCTCTGC